TAAACGCCTACATATCAATATAAAAATGCAACTTGTTGAAAGAAAAGAACATAAAAGATGCAGTGCCAACTGCAAAACAGCAGCATCTTGTCTATAAAAGAAACAAGAAAAGATTTGCTTGATCAGGAAAAAGGGGTAAGCTAGAATTGCAGTCAGATTTCAGTTGTGCCTGTATTACAGAATGGTTGAAACTGCAGTGAGATTTCAGTTGCACCTGTATGATGAACTGATTATATTGAAGAAGCTTCATATCATCCAGTGTTGCTGGTAACTTAGGAGGAATAGCAATAATGCATGTGGGTAGAAGTTACAGTTACAGAAAGAATGCCTTACATACAGAGCACCTTGAAGCTAAGTGTGGCCACTACTAATGCAGGAACGATTGCACTGCCAGTTTCCTTTTCTTCCTTCTCCTCTCCTGCTGTTCCTCCTTCCTGCCTTAGCAAATTCTGTGTAAGTCCTTCCAAAGATAAACAATTTCAATAAGAAAACTGCAGCAGTGATTTTCTGAATTTGTGGAACTTTGATTCTTTAGAAAACTTTTAGAAATGATTTTTCTTATCCGTCGACTTTCCAGTTTCACAAGAGGGTTTATTAAACACGTTTAAAGTACTATTAGTTGTTCATAAGCTATATATTTGTGATAAACTATGCAATGAAGCTCCAGCCTTTGGGCTGAAAGTACATATCTTGCCCCCTTTCAAACTAGAAGTGAGATATGAAGGAGAAAAAACTCTTTTCATAGGAAGGAGGGCCCGTTATAAAGTAGACCAGATACATTCTAGAAAACTACTCTGGCTATATTACTCTTCAGGTATTGATAATTTTAACCATAAATCTTAGACACAAAAAAGGAACACATATCTTAGAACAAGATGAATTTGAAGAATGAGCTCTTCATAACTCACATCTATCTATGTAGTGCAACGGGACTAGACAGCTTGGGCCGCCGTAGCAGGACATCACAGGCCTAAATATCAGAGCTTATTTCTGGGCATGTAGAGGGCAAGACGTCCACAGTCCTGGCGTGGAGATTTGGTTTCTACTGAAGTCCATTTCCCTGGCATATAGACAGCTGCCTCCTTTTCATCATACACATTCCCTTGTGCTCTCTCTCTCTCTCTCTCTCTCTCTCTCTCTCTCTCTCTCTCTCTTTCTCTCATGAAAGAAGAAGAAGTCCTGCTGTACTAAGGATATCACTTTTTATCCCACTGGATTATCACTGTAGAATTCTATATTTCTATATCCAGATATAATCACATTGGGAGGTAGGGCTCTGACCCAAAAATTTTTGGGACCATGATTCAACGAGACCCTGGTGGGTGCTCTATACAGACTGATAAATAAAACAAATATTCCTTCCTTTATGGAGCCTGTATTTCAGAGGGATGTGACACATCATGAATAAGAATAGGTTGATATATTAAGATGATCAGTGTTGTGGACATGCACACACAAGAACAGGAAGGGGAGTTATGGGTGCTAGTATATGTCTTGAGATGGGTGACACTATCAAATGTATAAACTTCCTGGTGTAGCTGAAATTGAACAAGACCTTGAAGAATGTAGGGGTCTACAGTGTCTTTGACTACCCTGGTACATTCTCAGTTGAGAACAAAGGGCATTAAGGAGAGGCATAAATTCATGGAAATATGTGATTTTGTTATGGCCATGCACAAAATTACACAACCAATGCTGTGATTAAATAATTGATAGAAATAAACATATTTCAGAGATGAATATTTATTTCTGTTACAGCTGAAAACTAGGAATGGAACATGAATTGCTTTTGTGCTCCAGTTGAACTCTTTGAGAGACCATTGCCTGGTTGTCAGCTTGTCATGGAGGGGTAACCTTCTCTTGATCTCTTGGTCCTGTTGCATTGTCAACTTGCTGTGGTGGAAAAGTCTAGTGGGCAATCTCATTATTTATACTGACATCTATGCTAAACATAATTCACTAGGCTGGCTTGTATTCTAAATGAACTTCCTCCATGTTAAAACTTGGTCTGAGTTCTAGAGGGAAGGCAAAAATAAGCCAGTTTCTAATATTTTTTTAGAGGTTGCAGTCAACTTGGTAAAACATAAACACAAAACAATAGCCAGTATCCTGGTGCTACATACAGAGACTCTTGGGACTCAAGCAGGAAACACTTAGTTCAGAGCAGAGAGCACATGACAAACTGGACAACTTTTCAGGATTACCCAACCTCTGATTACATCTTACTGGAAGAACTTCACTTGGCTATGAGGTCACAGTCATCCAATAGACATCAATCAAACAGTCTTGTTGTTAAGCAAATAGTGTGCTAAGCTAAGACAGAATAAAAGTTATTCCAAGTTAGGACACTGGTAATGAGGAACAGATAAAAGCAAGCTCGTGGATTAGATTCTACTGGATTTGAGGAATGGGTGTCCACTGTCTGCAACTTTTATTGGTATAGTTATGGGTATAGCCAATGCAATGAAAATGGATGCTCCTGAAGACAGATGAAACAGTACGTCAAAAGATGGGAAAGCAGGCAGGAGTGTTGTGGGAAACTACAGATGTTTCCTCGAGGATACATCAGTCCTGTGTAAGACAGACCAAGAGTGAGAAAAGGAGACGTAGAGGGGAAGGAAGAGGGAGGGAGGGAATAATGAAGATACAAAATGAAAATGAAAAAAGATATGCTTCCCATATCATGAGAACAGATTCAGGTTCGTGCCATGCACACAGTAATATTGTGCACAACACATAGATACTTATGATGGGGTAGTAAACTAAATGTTAGAGGAAAGTTGAGGCTTTGTTTCATTTTGGACTTAGGTTGAATAGTGGACTGGTCTAGGCAGAAAGAGAGGTGGGGGAGATGCTAGAGATTTAGTAGAAGGAACCAATTAGTATTAGTCTGAGCCCAAACCATGGTGATACAAATCAACAATCTGTAATGGAGGAAAAGAGAAGAGTGTGAAGGGGAGATAAATGGCAGGGCTTGACAAGTTACTGAATGACAGTGATATTGCTGAGATGATGGACAAGCCTGGTCCTGTGTTGTCCTACTTCTTCAGTAATTCAGTGATGAGCCACGACATGCCAATTGTCCAGTTGTCCAGCAAAAGCACAGCATAGACAACTCTAAGACCTTAGTGAAAAGGATTTCACTCAGTAAAAGTTATTTTTTAATGGGTTTTAAATTCCTTGAGTCTAAGGAAGTCTTGTCTTTATTGATCTTCTTTGTCATGATGTTGCAGTGTTTGATACATACAAGCTTTTTTTGGCCTAAATTGACTTGTCATATGAAAACCTAAAATGTAGGTACACCTTTGAATTAAAAAAATGATCCCAGGAAGTATCATCACCTATAGGTCTGCGTATACTTAGATCTTACTGGATTAACAACTGTACTATTGACTGAAGGGCCCATGAGAGAATTACCCACACCAGCCCCCAGACTGGGTTACCATGTGAAGAAGGCAAATCAAAATGCCCCTGCCTCTCAGCGTGTTGGGCACAATGAATTTAGTAAGGGAAAGAAACCACCTGGAGTCCTCTGAACTGTTGCCCACCACAGCGACACCAGCTTCTCATGCATGTGAGGCCGTGCTTGAGTTGGAATAAAACCCTGTTTGGATGCTCTGTCTGCTCCTGTGTGGTTACAGAGGAGGCAGGGACATCCCTCTGTAATGGGTTTTACAGCTGTGCTCTTTCCTAGTGAAGGTGCTGGGGTGGTTAGTATTATGCTGCTGATATTGTGGGTTCACCCACAGCTGCTCTTTACCAGTCAAGGCTGTGTGCAGGTGACAGTCCCAAGTATTCCTGAGATTTGATGGCTGAGTTACAGCCTTACCAAGTTTTCAGGAACACAGTTTGTCCACCCCCTTTGAGGGTTTCAGCTCTTAATCAAGATATTGCTTACAGCTCCAGCTTTCTATTATTTCTTCAGATGGTCAAGTTTGAGAAAAGTGGAGGCAAGTTACAAACATTTTATTTTTCATTTGCTTTTTCCCTTAAAATTAAAAAAAATGATATTACAACGTAAAAAAAACAACTGTACTATTTTGATGATGCTTACATTTTGTTCACAAGAAAGTTAGTTTTGGGAGCATAAGCCGAGGCAACATTTTTATATGGGCAAAGGGTATACTGTCTTCTCCTTTGGCTTAATTCAACCCATCTCTCTACTTGCAGAGCTTTCTGGATCATTAACCATTCTAAAACTCAAGACTACCTTTTCTGCGTGTGTTATAGTTGTTCAAAGGCTGAGCTTTAGAGACAGAGTCAATTTATATGGACTAACTCTGCAGAGAAAGTTTTATGAGAGTGTTTCATCGATAATGTTCAGTTGACAAAGTAATTGCTATTCCAGGCCCTTTTGGCCTGAAGAGTTTTTGTTCTCAATCTGTGGTTTAAATGCATAACAAAAGCAAAGACTCCTTAATGGTACTTGCTTTGAAATTAGAATGTGATTACTTTAAAACATGGATAGTTTTATTGCCTTAAACTATTTTTAAACTGCCATTCGTTTTTTAATGGTCTCCATCGCTGCATGCTGTGGAGAAGAAAAGGTAAAAGAAAATTCATATTGGCTCAGAACTGGGTGAGGACCTGCAGAGAACTGGAGGAAAATATGTTATTTTTTGACCTTAGTGATCATTAGTTCTTTCTAAGCCTCCCCTAAAGCTCCACATAGGCGTTCCCAGTTCAACACTTATAGCCTAATTGGACCAAGTGGCATAAAAGGTTATGCAGCCTTTCATTTGGGGGAAACTGTATGAATTGGAAAAGCACAGGTGGACATCATGAGCGTGAATATACCTCATATATATATGCATATACATATCTTTCATGATATGCTCTTATTCCTTGAAATATGTAAGAACATGACAGACTGTTTTTAACTAGTGTGGAGATCTACAATGTTTGTGCTCAGTGTGGAAAATAGTAGGTCCATTTCTCTGAGAATGAGGTTGATGCTCAGATACTTGCTCTAGAAACAGGTTAAGGTAAAGAAGTCTTACCCTGCCATACATGCTCTGGTAGGCTCCAGCTATCATCTGCCTCTGCGCATTGCTGCGTTTTGTTAGGATGTCGATCAGCATGTCTTTGTTGCAGTCTAGGAAGGAATCATAACAGAAAATCAAGGAAGGTCTTACTCAGTAGCTAGGAAGACTCTGTCCATTATGGACTAATCCTAACTAACCAATGGGCAGGTGTTATCACTGTTAGTATTTTACTTTTAAACACAACTCGATATCACTACCAGTGATTGATGAATCCTATATGCTCCTCTCCCTCCACCTCCCCTCTCTGCCATTAGTGCTAGTAATATACTTTGCATTCCTTCCCATTAAAATCCCATAGGAAACACAAGAAGGTAAGTAAAATATAGCCTTTCTTCAGCTATCTAGTCTACCATCCTGCAAAGTGTCTCCTTAACTTTCAAGCTCATGAGTAATAACTGAGTACCATGTCTTTCCAATGGCACAGTTACATACGTGGCTCATAATGAACACGTGTCCTAAAAAGAGGGCTGTTTTTGTAGGACCCACAGAAGAAAGGGAATAACTGAGAAGGAAATAATGAAACCACAAGGTGCTTACATACTTTAGTTGGGTGAAGTGATGCTCTCAAACTTTGGGAGGAATATGGTCTTTCACCCATTACCTAGGTATTCTTTCTGAGTTGTGTATCCTCTACTTATTCATATCACAGTATTACATTATCACATCACATCACACCTCAACATTCATAGCAATCATATATCACAATTGCTTTTCGTTGTGTTGTATTTCAGAGTAGGGTGACCAAGATAACTTTAACCTTTGTATTAGCTTGGCTAATGCAGATTAATTTCTATCTAAAGCCTCGTGACCTCCTTTTTCTTAGGGTATTTATCTTAGAAAACTAAGAAGTGTAAATCCCATCTTTTCTATCTATCATCTATCTATGCATCTATATGTCTATCTATATACTGATCTGTGATCTATGTATCTATGTAGCTATAATCTATCTGTCTGTCTATCTATCATCTATCAGGTATGTAGGTATGTATCTATTATCTGAAAAAATCTGTTATCTATCATCCATCTATCTTTACATCATCATCTATTTATTTATCTTTCACCTGTCTTTTATATATCCATGCTATCTGTCTATCTATCTATCTATCTATCTATCTATCTATCTATCATCCATCTATCTTTTTCACAAGAGAATAGAAAAATGGATGATTTAAAAAGAAATAGGAAACTGTAAAGATATTTATGAATAATGAATAGAAGACTTTTTCAATGATTTCCATTGTGTTATTCTTGTAATCACAACGCTTATTTATTGAGTTACTATAGTCATATGGTTTTGTTACTCTGTTGAGATTACATACAAATTATCTCTCTGATTTACTTTGCATTTATTAGTTTTTATAGTGGTTTTTGTTCACTCTTTATGAGCTATTGCATAATAATTTTAAATGGATCTCAAAATTTTTATTAAAGTGTCTTAATTAAAATACAGAAACAAAATACTGGTAAAGAACTGAAAGAGAGTCCATTACTCATTGACTTCATTAAGAGGATAATAAAGGGGCATTATAAATAACTCTATGATACAAGTTTTAATTGTCTAGATAAATGGATCTATTCTTCAAAGATGTTAATTAGTCAAACTTATACAAGGAAAATTGACAATCTGAATAGATACATAGATATATCTATAAGAGAAATTGGACTAATAATTAATAATCTAGCAGAATGAAAGTATTAATATTAGATGTTTAACAATTAATTTGAAAAAAATTCAAAGAAAAAATACCAGTTGTCCACAATCTCTTCCACATACATGAAATGTTCTGAAATGTTCTGAAATGTTCTGATGCCAACCAGTATTACTCTAATGTCCAAACCAGAGACAGATGTTACAGGTAAACTACTGACTAAAATCTTCCATGAACAAAGATGCACCCTCCCTCCAAGAAAACCTAGAAAATTGAATACAACTGTGGGTATGAAGAATTATATATAGGTCTAGCATTAGACAATCAGTGTAACCTATGTCATTGACAGTTTAAAGAAGCAAACTCTTGCGACTATAAGGAAAGTTGTAGAAAAAACATTTGACAAAATACAGTGCACTGTGACAATCCCCAGACGGACAATAAAATGTACTTTGAATCAGAGGGTGGAGCTAGCTACTAGCTAACCAAAATTAGCTATAGAGGTTTTGGAAGACCAAGGATGTATAGAAAGACCCATGAAATAGTAGGAATGGGCTTAGGAGATTCTCAGGCCTTTTGGATTGAGGAAGGAAAGAGAGGAGGTTACTAGTCACTACTCTGCCACTTCTCTGATCAATAAGCTATTTACCTTGATATCTGACTCCTAAGATTTATTGTTAAAATAATAATTAGGTAATACATTGATGCAACAAGACAAAAGTCCTAACCAAAGTAGGAATCAAAAGAAACTTATTGAGTTTGATAAAGGACCTTTGCAAAGTCTCCTGATTATCGGCATGGAGATTTGGAAAACATACATGAATACAGATTATAAATACAGAAACCAAAGAAGCCAACAATGACAGCAACAACAAAAAAAGCTTTTCTGAGCACGAGTGTGTAAGCAGCTGGTGATGGGTCGAGAATCTGGTGGTATTATTAGGAGATGCATGCCTAAAAAGTTCTGTTTTAGGTCGAATAAATACATTTTTTTAAGCATCTCCCAATAATTTTTTGCTAAAATAACTCATTTTCACATACTTTAAAGTCCATTTTTGTTTATTTTCAGAGTTATTTAATTAAGAATATCTGGGCAAAACATTGATATTTATCTTTTCCATTTGCACTTGACCAAAATCATCGAAATTGCAGGCCCTGAATACATGTGAAAATATTTTTGTTCTGGAATGCTTCCCCAGGTATTGTGCCATCAAACTCCAAACACTCTGAAATATGTCAGCGTAAACCATACAAGAAAAACACCATGACAGTCAAAATGCATCCATACTTCCACTCAGATGGCAATGACAGGAAAGCTGAAGCTGGAGAAAAGAATGTATTTGTTCATTATTATTTTTTTCTGTGTGTCACCAAATTGCTCAGCACTCTAGTTTTAAAGAAAAAAATCACAGTCAGAATCCTGAAGAAAAACTTAAATCGTCTCTGTGATTTTTCTAGTGACTATTGATGTTTTAAAAGGAATGAAATGATTGCCAACTCCTAAAGCCAAATTCAGAATAATATTTAATACTTTATTATTATACTATGTACGGTATATTTGTGATTGAAAAATAAAGGTGTGTGGGTGTGCAGTGTGCAGTCATCGAGGAAAGATAAAAACAGAGAGAGACAGAGACAGAAACAAAGAGAGAGGTGAGACAGATATAGAGACACAGCGGATATATATATATATATACATACATACACACATATATATACATACATACACACACACACACACACACATATATATATATATATATATATATATAGAGAGAGAGAGAGAGAGAGAGAGAGAGAGGGAGGGAGATTCTGTAAATTAAACATGCCATGAAGTTAAGAAAGCCTTTGCTTTCTTATGCACAAGTTGAATGGTTTTCTTTAACTGTATCTTTTATATCATGTGTGTTTATCTTCCTGCTCACTTAGGAGTCTTTTAAAAATGGGTTTTGTTCAAAATACATGAATATTTAACAGTTTTACATCGAACCTTAAAGGTTAAAGAATTAAAAGCAAGCTATTTTCCTCCTCCCCCGCTTTTTTTTTGTAAATTCCTTTTCTAAACCCTGATCTTATCTGATGAACATCAATTTGTTAAGCCAAATACCACATGCTAGCAACTCACAGGCCAGTCTCTAAGTGCAATGGATCAACAGAAAGCAGATGATTGTCAAGGAGAAAGTGGCTAGGAAGAAAGATGCCCAGTGTGGCATAGTTGGTAGAACCTGGGACGCTCAAGGAAGGATGCAGAGTGGATGTTCATTTGGAGAATTTAGGTTAGACACAGAGCCGAGAAAGAATAGCATCCCAGGCAAGAAATACATTGGGACAATTTATGAGGTGTGAACAAACAGAGTCATCTGTGAGGGTAGGATGCTAGATTTGGCTGCAAGAGTGTAAGCAGCAACAGAAATAGGCTAGAAAGAAAACAAGTGCAGAGGTCATGAGGAGGCATCGCTTCTGATTATGTTTACAGACTGGCATTTGCAGGCACGAGGAATTTATGTCAGGACACAAACAGCAATTTCTTTACAGCATCATGGACTTCTATTATTTCCCTCTACTTCTGTGTTCTTGTGTCTCTCCTCTAGTTATTTTACATCCATGCTATCATGTTACCACACAGTGAAGCAGGACAATACAATAACCAATGCATGAATTCCCAGGCTTACCGAATCCTTGGAGTGCTCCCCCTAACATTTGGGCATCCATCACAGGGTTGAAATTTGGAGCTGGGAAGATGGTTCCTTGGACCTAGTGGGAAAAGTCAACACATAAGAGATTGTACTAATTTAATGAAAAGTTCCAACAAAATTTTCTTTATAAATGCATAAAGAAATGTGTTCTACTATACTATACCAAGCTGCCATTTACTTGACATCGTATTTGCATGTTAAATACAGAAAGCTAATTTGGTTGAGTGTGTTTGATTCTGTAGCTTCCAATGTGTTGGCATCCATAGTCCAAGTAAGAAGCTGAGATTTTAGACGCCATAGTAAAAAGATAGAAGAACCAAATTAAAATATGTGTTTTCTTAGGAACTGACAACCACTTTATAGAAGCTGAAAAGAAAACCATATTGAAAGAGTCATGCCATTCATCTGAATTGTAAGTGTCATTCACTATTACAGCTTTTGGGGGGAACAAAAGAGAATCTAAAATCATATGAGAAAAAATGAAATACTGGAATGCAGATTATTGAATTTCTAAAAATTTGAAGAATGTATGTAAGATTGAGATGACTTACCTGAAGCACCTGGGGTCAGAGAAAAACATAAAACATTGACTCTCACATCTCCTGACAGTAATAAAATAGCAGAACATTTAGGGAAGGTTTCTGACTCTAGACACAGCTAGCAAGAACTCCATGCCCTATGCTCACCCTCACTACAAGAGAGCTGTCAATCAGATGTTACTGAGAACAAGGGTCAGATGTCTACATTTGTTTTCAGTATGTCTGGAATTCTGGAAAATAAAAATGCTGTCTCATAGGAGATGAGCCGATGAGGATACCAGAACTTATTCACTAAGCTGGAGCTTTTGGAATATAATGTTAGCTGATTATACAGCTCTCTAGTACTCATTGTCTAACAGAAGGTTAATCAGGTAAACAGAACAATACTGGCCATGGTTAATTGTTAGATGAGTATTAATCCATTGATCTTAAAACATTTATTAAACAATTTTGGAGTACTAAATGCTCTGTTGCCTTGAATTACATGTAGATTTAATTTTAAATAATATTAATAAATGCTGTGAATTTGAAATAGACAACCATGTAGCAATTATAGTGTGAATTGTATTTTATACTTAGAGGTACGTCTTTGGTGGTTGACTGTGCTCCTTCAGCATGGACAGATATATGCCATTAAAATAAGAACTGCCAAATATAGTGGTTCATGTTTTTAATTCTACCACTTGGGAAGTTTAGGCAAGAGGATTATGTGAGTTCAAAGCCAGACTTATCTTAGCAGTAAATTCCATATAGCCTGGGTTACAAAGTGAAACTCTCTCAAGAAACCAAACATCCACCACCTCAAAATCCACTCTTCATCTTCATTGCTCCAGTGCATTCAATTACAAATGGATTTCCAGTTATCACCCAAGGTCTCAAGTTTATTGCTCATGACCTCATGACCTGAAAAAAATTCTCTTGAGTCAAACCTCAGTTATAGAGGCTATTTAGTAGGGGAAAACACAAAATTTTAATGCATATGTCCAAGAAACTGTCATATAGTGGGATTGTGTTAGGAGACAGGCAAATAAGTCTTTTATTTATTAAATTAAGCACAGGTAGAAGATTTTAATGTAAATACTTAGATCTTCATATCTTAAACATCCTTATCTTATTTATTTTGTTTTAGGTGTATGTGCATTGAATACGCGATTGTGCACCACGTGTGTACAGGTGCCTTCAAAGTTAGAAAAGGATACTGGATTTCCTGAAGCTAGAGGGGGTTGCAAGCTACCTAACATGGGTGGTGGGAAGATAATCCGTGTTCTTTTCAAGATCAGTAAATTTTCTTAGTTGCTAATCCATCACTCCAGTCCCCAATGTTTTTAATGTTTCAATCCTAGATGAGTTTAAGATTTAAATATTGAAGTAATAATCACTACATTTTATAAATACATATATTAGTGAAGCACTTACTTCACTAAGAAAATAATTTTTAACTATCTATTGTTTCAGAATAATATTAAGTTCACAACACATTTAGCAGAATGGATATTAATTTCCCATAATTCTCCCTATCCCTGCCATATATCCATCCTCTCTCAATATCAACACCTGTCAGAGAGGTATGCTTGCTATGTATACCTACTTGATATATAATAATCTTCAATCCATATTTATATTATGGGTCACTTGTGATGGTACACATTATTTGAGTTCAGACAAATTTATAGGGGCATGTGCTCATCATTATAACTACTGTTATAATATCTCACAGACACTTCAATGTCTTAAGAGTCTTCTACATTTTCATCTCTGCTCTTCTAAATGTTTTTTTGAGGAATAAACAAGAGGTTCCTTATTTTCTGCTATAATAGGAATTGGAAGTGGACTCACCACTTGAACATTACTACTTACTACATAATGATTTTAATCTTGCTATGTGTTATCAGCCAATTGAAAACTTATTTTGAAATTTAAAAAGAGAAAAACTCAAAGCACTAAAAAACCAGAAACAATACAAGAATTTCCATTGCATATATTTATATCCGCTTATATATAGCAATGTCTTAGCTAGAATAACATGACAAGTGAATTCTACAAAGATATAAATAAGAAAGAAGTGAAAGTATTTTATTTGTAGATAACATGATTCTATACATCAAACATCCCTAATACTACACCATGAAACTTTTACAGCTTAAAAACACACTCAACAAAGGAACAATATGCAAAATTAATATTCATAGTTCTATACCCTATTTATTTTTCTATTGCTGTGGAGACATCTTTATCAAAGCAACTTATAGGAAAGTGTTTACTGGGGGCTTACAACTTTAGAGGGTGAGTTCATGACTTATCATGGTGGAGAGCATAACAGTAGGGACCAAATATTCAAATACATATGAGCCTATGGGGACTATTCTGATTCAAACTACCACAAATAACACTCCAAAGAGATTTTTAAGAAAAGTGTCTTAGGAAAAGAAAGACTTGCACAATGGAAATTTTAAGACAAGGAGGAAGGAAACTAAAGAGAATACTGAAAGATGGAAGGCCCTTCCATGATAATGGATTGGTAGGATTTATATGTGAAAATATCTATCGTATCAAAACCAATCTGCAGATTCAATGCAATTCCCATCAAACTCCCAATGCAATTATTTACAGAAATTGAGAAGCATAATCTTAAACTTAATATGGAATCACAAAGACCCATTATAGCCAAAAAATCTTGAACAACAACAACAACAACAACAGCAGCAGCAGCAACAATGATGATAATAATAATACTGCTGGAGGTGTATAACTCCAGATTTCAAGTCATATTACAGATTTATTTTGATCCTTATTTCTATTGATGATGAGAAATTATGACTGGAAACCATGTCCTATAGGAGAGGAAGAGTTTACAATGTTGGCTCCGACTTAGGAAATAAGGTGAGCTTTCATCAGAAACTGGAGAAAGAAGATTTTAAAAATGTGTAACACAAGTTTACACAATGGTGAGCTGGCCATAATAGTGAACCAAGATACCCTGTATGTCTGTGAAGTTGCCTTTATCACTATTTCGCATGTAGTGTATTCTGACATACAGCTGTAGTGAAGTAGTTGTCGTGGGATTGCAGAATTACAGATTTTTTTTGAGATTTAATAATTCTAAAAGGTAACTACTCACAATCATACTGAACCAAGTACAACATCTGCAGGTATCTAGGTTCTCAATACTTTGTATTGAGATGTATGCATCTCAGTGAGTAATAGATATGTTTTCAGCTGAAGGTCTAGTAGCACTTTGGCTAATGAATGAGCTAAATTTTGCAAACATTACCAATTTCAAACAATTCTTTGTGGTATACAATACATGATTCCTAATGAGGAAACCATACTGCTTCTGTGGTTCATAACAAATTTCTTACATTGTAAAATGTGGCTACAGTACAATTATTCATATCAAAATAATTATTGCAAGATATTAAGAAGTGTGTAAATGATTTGTCTTGGACTCCAAAAAGATTTGGAATCAAGTTACTTCTGTGTCAGTAAGCAATTGTATGGGCACAAGAGTTGCTTAAATTCAGTGTCTCTCATTTTTCTTCCATTACAATGCATGGATAATGCAGTCTTTATATCATGCTTGTCATAAACATGAGAAAGGTTTAAGAAAATACAGAGGATCAGGTTTGGTTGGGTCACTTAACTTTAAATATTAATATACAAAGTTAACAGGGAAATCAAGATGGGAAGATCTAAGAACAAATTAAATTAAGTTACAGAATATATAATACTTTTACTAATTCTTTGAGAATTTCTGACTATATATGTCTTAGTTTGACTTTCATTGCTATAAGAAAGCAGTGATTAAATCTAACTTGGGGAGGGAAGGTTTTATTTGGCTAACAAGTTATAGTTTATCATCCAAGTAGTAAGGCAAAAACTCAAGGTGGGTGTTTGATGCAGAAAACATAGAAGAACATTGGTTATTTACTTTATTTCCCTAGCCTGTTCAGTTATCTTTTTCCACAGCTCAAGCCCAATTGCCAAGGGAAGGTATTATCCAAAGAAGTCTGGGCACTGTCACATCAATCACTACACAGCCAGAGAAGAGGGACAGTGGGCCCACGATCATGGATTCTACTGATCTTACCATGTTCCCCACCACTCTGACAGCTGGCTTTATAGAATTATCAAAGCACCTCTTGAAGAAACAATTTGTGGTAGTTTGGAGGGAAATAGCCCCCAAAGTGAGTAGCACTATTAGGAAGCATGACTTTGTTTGGGTAGCTGTGGCCTTGCTGAAGGAAGTGTGTCACTGTGGGGGTGAGATTTGAGGTATCATATATGCTCAAGCCACACCAAGTGACACACACCACTTCCTGTTGTCTGCAAGATGTAGAACTCTCAGCTACCTTTATAGCACCATGTCTGCCTACTCATTGCCATGTCCCATAATGATGATAATGGACTGAACCTGTGAACTCTAAACCACCACAATTAAATGTTTTCCTTTATTAAAACAAGAACAAAATGCCTCATTGATATACCCACAGGAAGTTCCTCAATAAAGTTCTCTTTTGTC